AGGCACGACGCGATGCACCCCGGGCAGGAACGCGATGCACCGCAATGGCAGCAAGAGCTATCCATGCAAGAGAGGAAAACAAGTGGACGTGCGCGAACAAAGGTGCGGTGCAGCACGACGCGGATGAACAGAGCGGCAGCAAAGACGCCAGAAGCGACATTTGGCAGGCAATGCAAACCGAGCGACACAGTGGCAGCGAACGCGCATGGGGGACGGGTGGTAATGTCCAGGCCTCCCAGATGGGGTCCGAGTAGATGGGGTAGGAGGATCGCGCCGCATCGCGGATGCAGCGGCGATGCATCTCGATGTGGACCCCGACTTTCGCCTTGCCAGCGTTGCCGATGCGTCGCCGACGTCGCCGATGCACTGTCGCCCACAGCCATGCGAAGCGACGCAACACAGTGCAGGCCACAGCGCAGCATAACAGAGACAGCACAACGCAATGTGCTGCGAAGGACGACACAACACAAAATCAACACAAAACAATTAAGTTCTAAAGATGTCGGATCCATGCGAGGCCGTAGAACCAACATAACAGGAATAGTTTGGAACATACGGACAATGACCACATGAAAATGGCGGGAGGGATGCAGGAGGATCATCGCACCAGCCACCTGTTCTCTTGCACAAAAGGATCGAAGGAGCAGGGAGGAACGAGGAGAGAAGAGGGAGAAGGCAGAAGCCAAGAGACGCGGAAGGAGAGGTGAGAGAACAGCGGGGCAGGGGAGGAGGAGCGAGGAGGGAGAGAGTAAGGCGAGACAGGATTTTGGAGGACCGCTCCCTCTGAGGGCATCTTGGGACGCTCATTCGCGTTTTCGATATTTTTTTGTATATATTTCTGGCCGACAGGTCGGGATCCCCAGAAATTCCACAAGCTGGAGAAGTCTTTTCTTCGTGCTATTGAGTCATTTGAACCAGTGCGGATTTGGGCTCTTTTGAGTATCTTTGCTCCTTTGAAGCTGTCATGCGGCATTGTGAGCAGCATTTGCAGCCTATTGGCCCCTCCCCTGCATTTTTGGGCAACCACTTAGGCAGTCCGGGGAGTTCTTGAAGCACACCGACGCGTCCCATGGCCCGTTCAGACGGCTCGGGCCCGCCCGCAGAGATCCCCCCACATGAGGCATTGGACACTGGAAGTCCGTTTTGGGACCCCCCCGGGAGGCATCTGTAGACGATCGCCGGCGTCTCCGTGGCCCTCTTGGAACCATCTTCGACAGAGGTTGGGAATCCCAGGAACCACCCCCAAACCCCTCAGGAATCCGGGAGGTTATTCACATGATGTCCGTCAGCTGGGAGTCATCTTCGGGCTCTGTTGTGGCCGTCTTGGGGCTGTCACGCGTTCCTCGACACGCTCAGGCGGCCCCCCGCCCGCTCCCAGAGCCCAGAGGTCCCCCCAAGAAGCCAAGGCACCGCCATGGGGAAAATGAGCCTACGTTTTGGTATCCTGGGATTTGTCAGGGAGAGTGTGAGAGATTGGGGGGAAGAGAGAGAGAGAGAGAGAGAGAGAGCGAGCGATAGGAGAAAAGGAGGGAGAAAGAAAGAGAGAGAGAGAGAGAGAGAGAGAGAGATGGGAAGGAAAAGGAGAGGGAAACAGAGAAAGAAGGAGAGAGAGAGAGAGACAACGAGGGGGGGAGGAGAGAGAGAGAGGGAGAGAGAGAGAGAGAAAGAGAGGTGGACCGACAACGAGAGATAGAGAGAGCGAGAGCACACACTCAATGCCAGTATCAACGATGCAGTTTTTCATCATCGCCATCCTTCATTCTGGGGCTGTTGGCATTGCATCGTCGAGTTTGTGCTGAAACCGCTGAATGTGTTCCAACGTGGACGTCCATGGATCTTGCCTCCATTTGCCTCCGTTGATTGCAGGGCACTCTGGAGTGGGAGTCATGCAAGTTGGCGTTGCCCATTCCTGACCGATGCCCTCAAGAGGTCGACACTCAGCCAACATGTCCGATTTGCCAGGAGGGTGGGGCGAGTAATGGCTCGGGCGCATGGCGTCATCGCCTTGTTTGTTCCATCCTGCTGCCAGTCGTTGCTTTCTCTACTGAGTCGGTTTGCTCGGTGGATTGTCAGTGTTGTAACAGCTCTGCAGTAGACGATCACTGACGTGCACATGGATTGCAACTGTGGGTTTGAGTATGGGAAGGGATAGGTTCTTCGCTGGTCCGATCCCCAAACACTGACATGTGGCGCGTTTCCAGGCCATCTGATCTGATAATTCCGGAGGCCCAGGGAGCCCTGTTGTGGGCGGGGTATCGAAAGGGGTTAAACGCCTCGGCATACCTAGATCTAGGACGCCTTGCGAGTCACTGCTGTCCAGTTGCCATGTGGACGCGCCTCCGCGTGTAGGAGATTCCGTCGTGACAATGGGCGGGCCAGATGCGAGGGAAAAGCGGGCCAAAGATGCAGACGTACATATGCATGTGAACGCATGTGTAGACGTATGCACCTTTATTTTTCCGAGCGCATTGCGCAGCGATGGGGGGTTGAGGTGGCACAAGAGGCACACACAGACACGCAATCACACTGGCATGGACGCATGTACGTGGTGGATACGTTGGGGTGTGCACTTGTATCGAGGCGTTGTGCCACATGTGAGTCGAACGCATCTTGTACACACACCTGCTTGACTCAATGACTGGATCTGAACGCAAGTATAGATTACAGTAGGTGTGTTTTACTTTGGGAGTCGTTGTAGGGGGTCCTGTGTTCTGTCCCTCGGCCTCCTGCTATGTAGCCATGATGGTTCAAGGCGGTCGGACCGCACTGAACCACGTGCAACAACAAGCGAACACGCATCGTAACATTAGCGCGCAGCGCGCCACTGGAACCCTCTTCGTTTTCCCCATTTTTGCCTCTCGCCTTTTCTGCAGCAACCCGCCATGCACCCAGGAATTCGTGAAGCCAGGTGTGCGATCGCCTTCGCGCGCGCATCTACATTTGTCCCGACTATCTGTCTATATGTAGGTGTATTTGCATGACACCGACCACGATTTCTAGTGAGGAGTGTGAGCATCCGCAGTGTTATTGCCGTCGAATGCTCCCGCGTGGCACGGGCGGTGGTCAAGGCCGCTTGGCCGGAGACCTTCCTCTACTTCGACGTCGCAGTTGTCACGGCCGAGGAGGTGGCCAAGTGGGCGGGTTGGTACCCGCGAGGTGCTCCACATCAGCGGTTTCCCCTCCCAGGACCGCGTGCTCCTGCAGCACTCGCTGCGGATATCTGGCCTCCTCCGGCAGCACGCTGCATGGAACGTATACGACTTGCTCGAGGGCATCGCGACGCTGGCGTTCCAGGAGGAGCAGGAGGTCACCAAACGCATCGGAGAGCAGCCGATCTTCGTCGAGGCGTGTGGCGTGTTGCGCTGTTCCCGGGGCCGCCTCTTCTGGCCCCAGGGGCTTCTGACCCACTGAAGGGGAAGATTTTCGGGCCTCTGGATCGGAGAGGGGCCGGGAGGTCTGGACAGCCTCTGCCTCCAGCGTCCCAGCATCCGCTGATTTCCTCGAGACGGGGGCCGCGAGGGTCGTTAACACGGAGGAGCCGTTTGCGTGCTTCAAACGGCCTGTCCGGCGCCCTATTCCGCCGACCGTGTCCACAGCCCCCGAGCATGCATCCGATGGGGCCTGCAAGCGGTGGGCCCATGACTTGCACAGGCTTTCCCCCGTCCACTATGAGGACAAGAACTTGGTCCGAGACCCTGGAGGACCTCGTCGACTCAGAGCCGATGAGCAAGTTCGCATGCTGGGAATTCGATGGGGGCACCTGCATCCCGTCGAGCGTATGGCGCCGAAGGCTGGGTTCGAGGATATGAAAGGGGCCTTGGTTTCTGGTGCCTTCCCGGTGCCCGTGGTCGCCACGATCATCCAGCGCATCATCAAGATGGATACCCCTCGTGGGACTCTCGACGACATTTGGACCAAATGGCGTGATCTTGACCAGGAGGCGCGGCGCTCGGCGACGCGAAGCTGGACGCAGACACACGGGGGGCCTGCAGTTCCAGCCCCGGCCCCGCCTGCAGAGGCTGCCACGGACGGCAAACTGGGCCCTGAGGGTGAGCTGGCCCAGTAATTCATCAGGCTAGCTGACCACAGGGGCTCCGACATCAGGCTCGACGCAGGGCTGCCCTACCGTTTGGCCGCTTGGCCACGGCCCCCCCTCGATGCAGGGCTGTGGACGCGGCGAGTTGGCTTATCAGGTGCATTTCGCAACCTGCAGCACATCAACATCTTGGAGGCCACTGCGGTCCTGGATTTCCTGCGTTCGCACCTAAAGCACAGTAAGAACATGAAGAAGCGCGAGCTGCTCTTGCTAGGCAGCCAGGCGGCCATCGGAGCACTGACGAAAGGGCGGTCGCCTTCGACGAGCCTCCGCCAGGTCCTTTTGCGCATTGCTGCCCTCGGTGGATTTTCCAACTTTCGGGCGTTCGACGGGTGGGTCCCCAGCAAAGGCAACCCAGCAGACGGGCCCAGCCGGTGGGAGCGACGCCATGTGGAGCGCCCCTGAGGAGGCAGCAGCGCCGCGGGCGCGTGGCCGTGGACGCGGCCGCTCGCGGCGCGAGAGTGGCTACGAGGCACTCTCTGGGACGGCTGCGTGATCTTCTTATGCAGCCGCGCACGCGGCGACGTTGCGACGACGCTGTTCGATCACTTCTGCTCACATGATGCTGAATCAGCGCCAATGGCGGCCCGCCACACCAGCAGCGCTCGACGCAGCTTTTCCCGAGTACAATGAAGAGCTATGGCAAACAGGAGAAGCCAGAGCCATCGCAGAGGACACTTTGTCTGGCATCACACATTACGTTCCCCAAATTCGAAGACATATCCGGGGCTCTTGGCGGCTCCTCACGGCCTGACAGAGGAACGAATGGCCAGCCAGGGCCCCGCCTCTTCCTCGGTTGTGGGCCTACGCACTCGCACAATACTGCTTGCACAATCATGGCGTTGCACTGGACTTTTCATCCGTCTGCGTTTTGATATTCTCGCCAGGCCAATCGATTTATTCAATGCGACTCCAGCTCAATTCACGTTGTCTGCCGACTGACCTTCGGGCGTTTGGGTTCTCCTTCGCAGCAAGAGCGGGTTGCGAGGAGACTGCTTGGAGTCATTTCATATTTGGGATTATTTTCAAGCTGCTGCACGTGTACTTGCGCAGCCAGGAGGCGGCCGCACCCCTCTTTGACGAGCGTCCTGCGACTAATCGCGCACGGCTTCAACGAGCTGCCCATGCTTTGGGCTTCGACATGGACCTTCGATGGTATAGTCTTCGACGCGGTGGTGCTACGGATCATTTTCGGAGGAACCAGGATATCCCAGCGCTCATGGAATTTGGGCTGTGGCATTCCCAGACCACCGCCCGCATCTACGTCGTGGAGGACTTGCAGCTGCTTGCCGAGATGGTGCCCGATCCCGGTACCCAGCAGCGTCTTCAATACAGAGCTGGGAGACTCCGGCGTACTGAAACTCGGTGATCATCCAAGGCTACTTGGTGGAATGGGGTTTGTGGACACTGTGGGGCGCCGCTCGCCGCTCGCATGCCTCAGTGGCCGGCGGGTTCAGAACGGCTCCTTCGTCCCAGCCAGGAGTGGGGGTTGGGCTCGCCAGAGGGCCCCCAGCTTGCAGCAGTTGGATGGTGCATTGGGGCGACCCGCAGTTATTCTGTCGGTCGCCGGCTTGCGTCTTCCACCACGCTGCCACGCCATAGGGCGTGCCATCTGCCCAATTCCTCTTGCCGCGTGCCGCTGAAAGAAAAAACGGGCAAGGGATGCAGAGCGGAACATTCTAAATAGTTCACGTATCAGAGTAAGTTGGCCGAGTGGTCATTCATTGTCCTCGGGTGCGTGGCTGAAGTGGGGTTCCGTGGCACGGATTGTTGTTGCGTTGTTGCGCTGCGTTGTTGCATTGCCTTGTTGCGTTGTTGTCGTCGTCCTCGCCCACGACCCACGCGCGACCCACCCCGCGACCTCCCCGCGTCCCACCCCGCGACCCACCCCAGGACCCACCCACGACCCACACGCGACCCTCCCACGTTGTTTTCACTATACGTTTTCGCCTGCGGCGGGCTGGTGGTGCAAGGTGTGCAAAAATCGACGTTTGCGGCGGGCTTTTTCAGAGCTTCGTTGGCTGCCGACGAGCCCGCCGCCCCCTCACTCTTAGCCGCAGTTGCGGGGGGCTGCGTATCTAGTGGCCTCCGCCCCATCCCGCCACCATGCCTGCCATGCCTGGCTTGTGGATCAGAGGTCTCTTGGATGTTCGTTTGGATACCATGGGAAGCCTATCGGAGGGGGCTCTTGGAGGCGGTTTTGAGGCCTCTTGGGGGCCTTTTTTGGGGGCCTCCTGAAACATTGTTTGGGGCCTCTTGGGGGCCTCGTGGGGTCTCTAGGGCGCCTCGGGGGCTCTCTTGGGTGCCTCTTGGGGCCTCCTGGGGGTCTCTTGGGGCGGAAGCTCGGATTCTCGGTTCGTGTTCTCCCTCTCCCTTTCTGGGCCGTTTTAGGGCCTTCTTGGGCGGTCCTGGACGCCTCTTGTGCCGTTTTGGAGCCCTCTTGGACCGTCTTGGGGCCCTCTTTGTGGCCTCTTCGGCCGTCTTGGAGCGGTCTTGGGGGCCTCCTGGGGCCATCCTGTTGGAGCGCTCTTGGGGTATCTTTGGGGCCCCTTGGGTCGTTCTGGGGCCATCGCGGGCGTTTCGGAGCGTTCTTGGACTGTTTTGGGAGGCCTCTTGGGCGCTCCTTGGGGCCCTCTTGGCCCGTGTTGGGGCCCGTCGGCCTTTGGAAAAGTCGCGCGGGGATGCCGGAGAGCGCGAGAGCGCCCGGGAAATTCAGAAATCTGAGGCCCCCAGTCCTGAGCGCAGGGAGCAGGGAACAGGTGAGAACCTGGGAGTAGCTCAACTTCGCACCTCGAGGCACGGTGGCGGACATGCATACCTACGCAGACTTGTAACTACTCGTACGCATGCGTATACGCATGTACACGTCTAGTGTTACGCATGTGTAGGTTGTTACACCTGCATGTGGATATGCGCGGCCTCGCGGCTGCGAAGCCAGAGGCCCACGCTCCCTGCCAGAAGGTTCCGAAACGACACAACGTGCGGAAAATCAAGCGACTCATCCCAGGCGCTGGCGACATCATATTCGAAGTGGTCGAATGGGCAGCGCTGCAACATCTGGCCCCGCCTGGCTCGTTCACGGCTCCCTTTGCCGACACGCTTTGGTGACATATGTCATTAGGTTTTCATGTTGACGCATTGTGAGGTTAAGCAGAATGGTCGTCACGTTCTTCGTCGGATTCGGGGGGCTGTTTCGCCGACCGTCAGCATTCGCGTCCGAGGTCGCGGCTGGAATCTAGATGCCAGCGTCTTTCGGACTCTGCCATCACAGCTGCACCAAGGATGCTAATGCTTCAATGCAAAATCTAGTCTCGTCCAGCGACGATTGGGCGTGGTCGCAAAGTGCGGTGAGAGTATTGCCTGGCCATCGGTTTTCTGCAAATTGATTAGCAACGCTGGTATACAGTATACGTTGTTTTGTTTTGCAGACACCTTGGAGGGACACCCAGGTGGATTCCTATAAATTTGCTCATCAAGGTCCAGTGGCCCGAGGAAGCTGTTCGACGAATGTGTAGAACTCATGTTCTGGTGCCCACCTGCCTGCCTGAACTGACCCGGGTCCTAAGTGCCCCCTCTTTGTCCGCAGCTTCGTTGTCATTATGATGATCCTTCCTTTCTCACTTCCCCTCCCCCCTCTTCCCTGCCACCTGTTATCTGTCAGTCGCTGCGCCTGTTGCCCAGTCGCTCGGCTTCCTGGGTCACCCCAGGCAGCCTGGCGCTCAGAGCTCATAGAGATATTGCAGCTGCAGCCCTGCGGCAAAAAGCAAACTCTTCCCCGCTGCCTTTCGAACGCGCCCGAGGGGGCTTCTCTCCAGGAGGAAAAAAACACGCAAACACTGATGATCGTCGATGCCCAGGCACATCTGGAAGATGTGGGAAGTGGGGAGGAGGCCGAAAGTCCAGAAAGTATGGGGAGATGTGGGGGATCCTGGGATTTGTGTATACTTACTGTACATCGACAAAATGTTGCACCACGTTTGCTGGGCATTGGCACCTGCACTGCATTGCTCTTGCCCCCCCCTTCCCCCCCGATCTTAATATTGGGTGCATGGCGAAGAGCCCCTGTTCCGCCCGGGGGTTCCCCACAAAATGTTGCACCACCGAGCTGTTTCGACCAGCCCGGGTCCGAATCCAATATTAAGATCGGGGGGGAGGGGGGGGGGGGCACACGATTGATACGACAGCGATGCGATTTATTGTCGGCGCCAGGTGGTGCAACATTTTGTCGATGTACCGTATCTGTGTGTCCCAGGGCGCCTTCATATCTGTGGCCTCGTGGGTGCCCTGTGGGGCTCTCTTGGGAGGACTCCCTGCGGACCAGCCAGAGAGGCCCCGTCGCGGAGGCCTCCACAACGGCCATCTTGGGGCGCGGCGCGTCTGCCGGCCTCTCCCGAAGAGGGTCGGCCGACCCATCTTGGGGGCAGCCTCTCCTCCTCCTCCTCCTCCTCCTCCTCCTCCTCCTCCTCCTCCTCCTCCTCCTCCTCAATCCTCCTCCCTCCTCCTCCTCCTCCTCCTCCTCCTCCTCCTCCTCCTCCTCCCAGCGCGTTCCGGAACGCTCTCAGAGCGTTCCGGGAAGCTCTGGGAGGACCGCGGCGCCCGACACGTCCTCCAGAGCCGCCGGATCTCAGAGGTTCTCGTCTGTTCTTCGCCAGGATTTGTCGGTGCCTTGGCTTTGTCTTACATCTGGTGGGTCGGACGGCATGGGAGATTGGGGCAGGGGGGGGTCTACTAAATCTGCTGCATGCAACTGGTCTCGGCCCCGCTGCCAGGCGCTTTCCTCGATGCAGGTGCGCCTCCCTGCGCCTCCGGCGCCTGGAGGCACCGGGAAGATCAGCTACTTGAGCTGATGCGATAACCCCTCTTGTGCCAACACCCCTTTTCGTCCTTCCGACCCATTGGACCACCGTGGGGGCTCTCGCACATTCTGCGGGCCGTATTGGGTTTCTCTTCGGGCCGTGTTGGGACGTCTCGGGTTTTGTTTCGCGCTATCCGAGGCGTTCCCGAAGCGATCTGGAGACGAAGACCTTCGGACGCAAATTACTGGGCTTCTCTATGTGGGTGTGGCTTTTTTCTGGCTTGGCTGGAGGACTCGTTGGGCGTTTTTCTGTTGGGTGGCCTTGGATGGCCTCCTGGTGCCTTTGGCGTGCAACATCTGGCAGCGCTCGGAGTCGTTGGTCCGTCTTGGGCTGGCCTTCGCACTCTCGCAACCATTTTGGGACCGTCTTGGAGTCATCTTCGGTACGAAAACAGCGCAGAGTTGCCAAAACTGGGATGGGCGGTCGCGGCACGGGGCGGGGGTCGGCCTCAGAGTACTGTCAATACGCTGAGACAAGGACCACTTCGCGCTCGAGAGAAGCTCCAAGTTTTCGGGCCGTTCCTCAGATCTTGGTCGGGAACTACTCGTGGCCGAGGCTCGCCATGGCCAGGGAAGCCTGTTCGTTCCTTACTCCCGCGGTCCTTGTGCTAGCGCGATGACTGTACTGCATAATCGCGGTAGGTCTTTAATGCTGCCTGGGACGCCTCTTTAAGCTCTCGGCTGGCAATTCAACTAGTCCTTCCCCTCCTCGTCCTTTCCCTCATCATTATCATCATCATCGTCATCATCATAAGCATAATCATCATTTCCATTGTCATCGTCAGCAGCAGCAGCTTCAGCATCAGCATCAGCATCAGCATCATCATCAGCATCATCATCATCATCATCATCATCATCATCATCACATGCATCATCACCATCATCTTCATCAGCATCATCATCATTATCATCATCATCGTCATCAACATTATCAGCATCATCGTCATCAACATCATCATCGTCATCGTCATCGTCGTCGTCATCGTCATCACCATCAGGGCTCCTCATCCCCCCCCCCATCGCGATCATCAGCGGTGGCCGCCGCGGGGAATAAGAATTTCCCTGGCATTCCTGGGGCCCCAGTCCGGCAGTACGCCCGCGCAAAAAGTAAGGATTCCCCAATTATTGAATCGCTTCGCTCATTCCGCCGGCCCGTGATATGGCATCGCTGGTTTTTGTCTGTGTGTTCGTTGCCCATGTTGCGCTCTTGTGGGCGGGTGTCGTTCGGACGCGTTGCGTGGGGAGTTTTGATGGTGAAGCAGTTCCCTGGGGGTCGTCTCTCGATGGGGCGAAATAGAGTCGTCGTCAAGATGCTTCTTTGGGGGGCCTCTTGGGGTCTGTTGAGAGGCCGTTCGGGGGCGCCTGGGAGACATGTTTGAAGCCTTCTGGGGCTTCTTTTGGGCCTCCTGGGAGTCTCCTGGGGCCTCTTGGCGACATCTTGGGGCCTCTTGGAGGCCTCTTGGGGCCTCTTTGGGACCTCCTGGGCGCCTTCTGGGACGGAGGGCTCCATTTTT